AACTGTTTATATGCAACACCTAGCATGACCCATAGGTTTTTTACTTGTTCTTGCTTGGCCTCTGTCCACTATACTAGCAAGCTAATAATGAACTACCCACAAATTTGAATAACTGTCTTATGTTGTTCAAGTGATTGCATGTCACACCCTATACATATTCTACCCAGGGAAAGCATGTAATTAAGTCATCTGATCTTTCATGTGATATTTTTAATTCCTCTCTGAGAACTCGGGACTAGTTTAGAACTAAGGCAATGATCTTTTCTTTCCATGTGAAGCTATAGCAATTGATTTCTTATGCAAGATTACAAAAAAAATTATTTTGTATGTATTTCTATATCTTAACACTTTTCTTCTACTTCTTTAAAAACTCTACCTCACACATGTACTAATTTCAGCGATTATTCACATGCACCAGCCAAATTCATTCTCTCGCTCTCTATCTAGATATATATCATGATATATAGATATTATATATATCTATATTTTTTTAATTGAAAAAAACATAAATTAATCAATAGACAAACAAAATAAAATTAATGCTGGCAGTTTGAGTCCACCAAGAGGCAACTCAGAAGAAAGGCCTAGCAATCTATTTCCAAAAAAATCAGCCACTGAAAACCCTATGGAGCACAGTTCTACTCTGGCACACATGGGGTTGCCATGAGTCAGAATCAACTCCACGAAAACCGGTCGGGGTGGCGGAAGGAGAAAAACGAGGTGTGCCACAGGGCACTGCTTCTTACTCCTCTTCGTAATTATTACTAAAACTCAACTTCAACTTGCTGTTTTAAATAATATAACAAGCCTATAAAACGTGTTGACAGTGTGAGTCCCTTTCAAGTGGGATAATCCTCAGCAGGCTCTGTACAGACTGAATTGATAAGGAGATAGAATAAGCACCCTTCTAGACTTGGCCCTGGGTCCACAGATTCACAGAGGTCAAAGCAACAATCCTGATCCTCAGATGCCTTACAATCATTATAAATGAACAAGTAAAGGCTAACACACGTAAAAATAATAGCAATTATAGAATATAAAAATAATTCAGAGATAGGCTGTGTGATACAAAACTATAGGTGATGGAAGAAGAGCAATCCATATGGTGATCATGACAAAAGCCACAGAATCAGAGCTGGGGATGTTATTAGAAATCTGAGAAATGAAGCCTGTAAGAGGACATAGAAAGCTCAATAAGTGTTTAGATATGTTTAAATTTAAAAATGCTCATTGAGCCAGTGAGCATTCGAAGAGTAGAGAAATATTATCATAAAGTTTGTGTTTAAATAATATTCATCTTAATAGGGATGTGAGAGGGCAGGAGCTGTATTCTCAGGGCCTAGAAAAGTACCTGGCAAACCAGGTGTTCAATAAATGTTTTCCAATATAATGGTTGGAAGGACAGACAGACAGATGGATGGGAGCACGAAGAGTCTAAAACAGGGAAAACAACTAGGAGACCAACCAGCTATTGTAATTCAGGGCTAAAAGTGGTGCTGGTAAGAGTGAAGAGGAAATGATGGATACAAGAGACATTTGTAAGCAAGTAACAATAAGTCAGATACAGGAAGAGAAGAAACATGGAAATGAAAGCTAGAGATCAATCAAAGATGCTTTTAAGGTTTCAAGCCAAAGTGAATGGGAGAGTAGAGGATCTTGTCAAGGGTAAAAATGATGAGATTACGTTCAGGGTTGTAGATTTTGAAGCGAAGGCAGAACCTGTATTTATTTCAGTAACCATCTGGAGGTACGGGATTAGAATATGAGTAAGAGAACATAACTGATAATTTGGGAAACATTACCCAGTCCCCACCCCAAAACAAATAATATCTTCCAAAAAACATAATAATAATAACTCTTAATTTAGCATTAGTATTATTATTATAGTAGCTAACATTTACTGAGCTCTTTTCTGTATCAAACACCTAATAAATTCTTTGCATCTATCGTTGCACTTGGTCCTTACAACAACCCTGGGAGGTGGTTAAGTCTATGTCAATTTTTCAGAATAGAAAACTGAGGCACAGACAGGTTAAGTAACCACGCTTACTAAATGCCAGAACCAAGACTTGAATCCAAGTCTGACAAAAATAACTTTTTCTATACCACTGAGGTATGGGAAGAAAATATCAACATTTCTATTTGTTGCTTATTGTAACCTATTAAATTTTCTATTATTGAATATGATTTACAATATATACAATACATTAATACAGTAATATATAACTAAGCACTGATATATGGATGGCATTCTATTTTTTTTAAATAGAAATCTGAGATCAAAACAGCTTAAAATTGGAGGAGCATAGTCAATGTCACTGAACTGTGTATGTAGAAATTTTTGAAACGGTGTGTCTTTGGCTATGTGTATTTTCACCATAAAAAAAAAAGATTGAGAATTTAGAGGGTTGATATGTTGTGGGGTTGTTAACCAATGTCATGGAACAACATGTGTGCTACTGTTTCATGAGAGACTATTTGTTCTGTGGGCCTTCACCTGAAGTACAATAAAATAAAAAAAAAAAAAAACAGCTTAAAGACTGAGTTACGTGTTCTTCCCCCGTCCACTTCGGTTTCTTACAAGGATTCAATGTCAACCAGCTTTATCTTTTTTTTCCCAAAAACAGACCATAGCTGATCAGATACTTCATTCACACACTCACTCACTCATTCCGAAAATATTTATCAATTGCCTACCTTATGCCAAGCTCTTCAGTAGATTTTGTGAATTATAAGAAACAACCTTGACTTTAACGAGATTAGTGACATAAGGCCCTAACAGGTAAGCACTTCATTGTAATTAATTACAAGAACAGTAATGGTGACAGCCGAGAGCTAGCACTTTCTATTGAGCACCTGCTATGTGCTAAGCACGGTTCTAAACACTTAGGCATTTTATCTAAACAACCCTATGAGAGAGATGGTATCATCTCCATTTTAGAGATGACTAAACTGAGGCTCAGGCAAGTTATGAAAGTGCCCAAGATTACAGGGCTCATAAACAAATGTGAACCCAGGCAGTTTGATTCCAGATCCTGTGCTCTTACTCTTCCTACAGTAGTGAAAATGGGCCTTGGAGGGAAAAAAGACTATGCTACTGTTTGCTGGGTCTCTAGACTCAACAACAAAATCCTTTCAATTTAATCACCTATTAAAAAGAAGGAGCCATGGTGGCGTAGTAGTTAAGAGCTCAGCTGCTAACCAAAAGGTCAGCAGTTCAAGTCCACCAGCCACTCCTTGGAAACCTACGGGGCAGTTCTACTCTGTCCTATAGGGTCGCTATGAGTCGGAACGGACTCAACAGCACCTAACAACAACAATTAAAAAGAAATCATATCTTAAAAAACAACACAACAACAATAAAAATCAGGCCATACCTGTTACACTTGTAATTCTAATGCAGTGAAAAATGTTTAAGCTTACTTTCAAAGTATTTCATTCTATAATGCTATATTTCAAGAAAAATTACTTCACAATAGACAACAAAACATTTTTGTTCATATAAAAGTGCTCCCTTGCTTAAATTATACTAAAATGGATTTATATAATACATCATGGAGAACTGTCTTGAACTAACTAGAAACCTGAATTCAAACATCTACATGTTTAAGATCCAGTAATTGGTCTCGAGCTATTTTTAAATCACTTATCTGCATCCATGCGACTTCACAGACAGTCGGGAGCAAACTATGTAGATGATAAGCTCCACAGTTCAACAGCTTTCTAAAGTTCAATCTGAGTCTCCAAGCACCTACCTATATTAACCCCGAATGACACTCTAATAAATCAACAGGATCTGATAACCTGCCACCTTAAGCCAGCTGTTTCCAGTAAGGGTTAAGGAAAAGTGGTTTCCAAACAACAAACTTCACTTTACTTTGAACATTGTGAGAATAGAACGGATCACTGAAGTTTTATTATGTGACATAGTAGGCAAATAAGCATAGCAATTCCTGCAGCTTTACTTAGATTCTACATGGATAAGTACAATAGAAATGGAAAGATAACAATCAAAAGGTTTATATGTTCCTATTAACACAGGCTAGATTTTAAGCAGTAAGTTGTTTCATATCAATCCTTTAACAAATAGTCTTCCTTAGGGCTTCTTTCAAAGACCAAGTAAGTATTCTCTTATATTGAACTGTGTCAAATATTAACCTTACTTTAGTGTCAACAAAACCAGTTTTGAGGTTGTCCAGATTGTTCTGAGAGATATTGCTCCCTCATAAAACCACATTGTAAGGGTGGACAGAAGGCGAGACAAGTGGTAAAGGCCTTCATGGGAGAATCTGATTTGCCAACTCAAGTTTAGGGCTGCTCATTAGTGAAGTCAGACAAATTACATTAGGAGGAAAAAGGAAGCAAATTATTAAACTTAGTTAATTATCCTATTTCACTCCAATACTTTAAGACCTAAGTAAAACTGTTGCAATCACTTTTATCTTAAA